ATAATCGTGAAAAACAGGCGTGTCAATTATTTACAATTAAGTGCTCTGTGGAGTGACGCTGTCGGAAGCAGAATTTCGAGGTCCACATCTCATAGAGGCGCCCACAAACTGGAATTTAGCACTTGCAAGGTAAGTTTTCGTATAAAAAAAAGTGAAGTAAAAACCCTAAAGTTACACAACTTGTTTATAGGCCAAAGAAAAGCCACTATTAACTCCACTGCAAAAGAAAAATCGGCTTAGATGGGCTCAATTGTTGCTTTGTTAACTTCGCGCATTTATTCGCATAATGTTTATTGAGAAAATAAATCGTTTTAGAAGTAAAATAGTTTCATCATGTTTAGTTTATAAAGGCATATTTTGGTACAAATCTTGAAGTGAGCCAACTGAAGTAGGAAGGGGCTCGTAATACATATCCCTATCTCATGCCACTGTCATCTGACGTATAACTCCGAGCGCATCTTTGAGATAACGGGAGTTGCCCTTTTGTCCCTCCATTGTTTTTTATCTATATTCCGTACCCGCGATATTTATAATACAACAAAGAAAAAGGGTCGGCCTCCGTCTTTAAGGGCAAGGTACAGCCCTGGGGAAATTAAGGCGATGCAAAATTAGCATTTAGAAAAATTAGAAACGCTTCCCACCGCCACCAAAACACGAACCCTCAACTCGCGGAGCCTGGGGGTGAGATTTCCTTTGCCATTCGATAATTGCGAATATAGACGCAGGTGTTTTTCCTCTGGTGAAGACAAAAAATGGCATCAAGTAAACTTCCAACGCAAGGAAACTAACTTGAAATTACAAATTGTGTAGGATCTGCGTCAATGACAAGCTTTGAACAGCTTTTATTTTCTACTCGTCTTTTGGCTACAACTCACTGGACCAATATTATTAAAAACTAAAAAGCTTCATCCTTGCGAAAGTAGCGGACAGACAACAACAGACAGGCAAACCGACGGAAATAAGAGAAACGATTTTCGTGTCGTATATACCATGAAACGTCAAAAAAAACAATTCGAAGTCGGAAAGCTCAGCGACTCTAATAGTCCAATATAAGATTGGAAAATAAGAATGAAAAACTGTGTCTGGTCATCTTTTACTATCACTTTAAATGACAACCGAAAGCAACTAGATGTTTCATTTTGGTGCATGCGTATTTTTCCATAATGGCGTCCTTTAACTTTAACCAAATATGAGGTATTTGCTTGGTCTAAAGGACTTCCCTGCCATTTTGTGCTTTAAGGTCTTAAATTTCTAAGTAGGTAGTCCACAATTGATGGTAACTAAAATCGTTTTTAATACCTCCTGTTAATTATTCCTAGGATCCTGGACATTTTGAGGCAGAATAACGTTTTCAATTTTAACATTTTTCTCAAATGTATCCATATTTAGAAAACTATTGCTATTTTGGAGGACGTAAACAATAGAGGGGAACATCTTACTCGGAAATCATCGCCTGGACAAAGTTTATGTGACATTTTATGTGAGTCATAAGTTATGTATCTCCTTTGCTTAACTCGTCAGCTTCCGATTCTTTTTTAGATGGAATACAAAAAGTACCATAATAATTAAAATTTTCATGCATGAATAAGGCAAAGTTACGAAGTTGTTTGAACTTTATTTGCGAATGCTCTCCGACTCTAAGAATCTTTACTTGACTTTCATACAACCGACGAAGGAGCGGTCGTACCAGTTCTGGATGTACGAAGTTCGACACGGTTAGGATAGGAGGCGGAAGTCAGGCGGATCTGTCTGGCAGGCACATCGCGTGGCAGCATCATGGAGAAGGAGAGTTTTGAGGAGCAGAGCCCATTGGTGAAGCGGTAGAAGAGAGCTGCGAAAGGGTCCTGAGACTGCCTGCACAGCATCGAGCATGGTTAATGTAGTCGGGGCGGCAGCACCCCAAAGATGGAAGTAATACTCGAGGCTAGGTCTTATCTGGGAGTTGTATAGAGTGAGAAGGATATGTGTAGAAAAATATTTCCTAGCCCTAAACAAATAGCCTAGCTTTTCCCCGGCAGCTGCTGGAGCAGGAAACCATACTGCCTATCGCTAATTAAGCCGTGACCTTTGAGGTACTCCAGAAGATCACCATTTATACGCCTCTCGATCATAATTCTATTTTTTCTTAGATTTTATTGTAATTAACTATTGTTGTATGTAAGATGCTACTGAACTTGAATTATATTTTTTCAAATTTAAGCAATCGCGGAGGCAGAACCTAGATTCTAAGATCCGATGTTCGAACTAGCGTAACTGTGAGAAATCTCTTCAGACAGATTATTCTACAAATCTCGATACCCTTGGAGTAAAAGAACGGTCGTCCCGGCCAGTTCCTCGATGTATAGACTTCGACAGAGGAAGAAAAGCAGACTCCTGGTGCTATCGGCTCCATCTGGCAGCTCTTATGAACATATAAAACCACAAGATTATGTTCTCAAACATAATTAAAATGAGACAATATCAACTGAAATCTCCCAGACATGACCTCATTTTCCCCAACCCTCCGCCATACTTCCGTCCCTTACGCTCCGACATTCCGTTTTGAAGCAAACTCGCGATGATATTGAAACAAAATCCTTCTTCTCTCTCGCTCTTAAATTCTCCAGTATTTTTTTCTAGATTAAAAGTCTATCGATCGGTCGTTTTACTTCGTTACCTTTATAAGAATAATTCCTTTACGAGCTCAAATGTGCAGAGAGGGGGAACTCAAAGACGTACCAAAAAAATTCGTTAAGAGAACCGAGTATACTTCTCTCACTCAACAATATACAGCACAAGATAATTTTTTTTCCTGTTCCTAAAAAAAGATAGTTGAAACTGTCTGTTTACTGATCAGTCGAGTTGTGGATAGCCCAGTCAAGTCAGCTCTCCAGACATGTGAGTAGTATTCTAGGGCAAGTCTCGGTTTTGTGCAGAGTGGCAGCACTGTCCGCCTTTAATCCCTCTAGGTGGCACTTGTGTGGTTTGCAGTCAAACTGTTAAAAGTAGAGAAAAAGACATATTTGATAGGACAATTCACTTCATCACATTTTGATTTCTGTGAACAGCAGACTCAATTCTTGTTTATAACCTGAGACATGACCTTCAACTTAACTACCGTCATCTACTTGTAGCTTTCCAGATTACCCCCGATTACCATACTCATTTGTGCCATGTAATAATTATAAGTTGCACACGTTGGAACAAATGACTTCTTGCCAAAGCCCAACCAGTAATCAGACCTAGGTGTATGTTTGATTATCAGCGGAGGCGCTGTACTGCTTGTTCTTTCTGAATTTCTCGGTGTTAATTGATCCCTTCGGAATACCTGCGTTGATAAAGTGAGATGAAAAAGAAAACAGAACGATCACGATGTATACCATTCGGATAGATAGTAAAACATCCAACAAAGACAATTTTGAGAAAATTTGTTTTTGTCATCTCCGGAAGTACTCCATATTGCGAAGTTTTCAAGTGCTATTTCTATTGAAAATTATTCTTTCAATGACTCTTTTTATATAAACTTCTTGAAATCAATTCGATTTGGGGTCTAAAGAACCACAATTTCCTGTAATAAAATTAAAATATTTTACATTACATTAGAGCTCTACAAAAAAAAAAGTTTTTAAAAATTTAACGACGTTTCTCTTATCGTTTCCAAGATCCCAATGGTAAAAGTCGACTTTGAAACTCCGCATTTGTTGTGCAAGTGTATTCAAATATAAAATATATTTCCTGTGTTAGCCGACTACCTACGCATATGGCGGTAAAAGGGACATAGGACAAGGCAGACGGGAGGGTTGAGGAGGAGAGGGGGCCTTTTAAGATACAGTTTTTTCTTCACAGGGATACTGTTACACAGATATTTAAAAGCCAATCAATACACGCGCACCCCGCATAAAAGGGTGGGTTGAAGGTACATCAAGGAAATTGGATTGATGTCAAATAAATTACTCTTTCCTCTCCGACGCACTAAGAAACAATTATGAAACAGCATTTTTTCCATTTAATATATTGTAAATAACGCCCAAAACTTGACAGAATTAAATAAAAATGCGTAGTTGTCCGTGTATTTCTGTTGACACCTACTTTGATTTGGCATATAGCTATCGCCTTCAATCAATAATATGGTTCTTAGACGTACTTATAGCAAAACAGTAATTTGTTCGTTTTGCGAATTTTCAAAATTCAACTAGTATATTCTGACCATTTTGACTTTTTCTTATAAGGAAAAAGTGACAAAACTCCAGTGTTCAATGTCGAAGTCCAAAATTCGGCGCAAAGGCTGTGCCGCAGCAAGGTCTAGCATCTAACGACTATTTGACAAATGATTCAAATGAATACAAATTTCAAATAACGTTTTTCCCAACACACGCGCGAAAAATGAAGACAAAATTGATAATCCCCGAATAAGTTTTAGAAACAATATAGTTCGGATATTAAAATGCATTTTACTTCCTAGTATTGTAATCGCGAAATGTACATCACGAAAAACTATGTCACTCATTGCCATCGCTCTGTCTGTATGTGTGTGCGTCCTTGGCCTTTCTATAACCTGGAAAGTACTGGTCGGACTTGGATGAAATTTTTACACAAGAAGCCGTATTCATAAAACAAGGGATATCCTTGTACTTGCAAATTTTGAAGGAAATCCTCCAGAAGGTATTTATAATAATTTGAAGTAAATGCTTTTGCTTTTCGAGTATAAGCATATCCTTCAAAGCAGTGACATAAGTAAAAGGATATTCATAATCTTCACCTTACACTTGGCATAGGAAGCATATCCTTAAAAAATTCTGAGTGTGGTCAGTAGCAGACTCAACTTCGTAACGAAAAGATGATGGCGGAAATTGTGGATGTTAGGGATGTTAAAACGTACAACCTCGTTTACCTTCACTTGGTCGTGACTTCAAAAAATTACTAGAGTTCGACGAAGCAAATGTACAATACAATGGCTTGCGGGCAGATTTTTAGTTGAGAATGAGGAAACTCGAGGAGGAGCACTTTCATGTATTCATAAAATGAAGATATGTCTACGCTATACCAGTGACCCTGGATATCAACAAGGTATTGGTCAGGAACTTGGTGTTAGTCAAGCAACGGTATCTCGGACTGAGGATAGAGTTGTGAACCGCATAGTTGCACAGTCGAACGAATGGCTCAAGTTCCCAACTACCAACCATGAACTGATGAAGGTCAAGCGGATATGGCAAAGCTTGTATACATTTCCGACAGCAATTGGTGTAATTGATTGTACACATATAGGAATCGTGAAACCAAATCGCCTTGGAGATGAGTTTATCAACCGAAAACGAAAACCTACTTTAAATGTGCAAGCTACTTGTGATGCCAGAGAGATGTTCACAAGCGTTGATGTCAGTTGACCTGTATCAGTGCATGATTCCAGAATATGGAGAACTACTAATACAACTAATAAATAAAGCAAATGTTGTACTACTTGCAATGACGGTGATGGTATTGAGCCATGCCTTATGACTCCCTTCAGAAATCTTACTCCAGGTGCAGAAAGAAATTATAATAAGCTTTTAAAACAAGGAAGAGTTATAATTGAACGCTGTTTCGGCCAACTGAAACGCCGATTTCCTATCCTAGCTTGGGCGATCCTGAGTTTGAGTTAGTTGAACAAGACCCAGATGAAGATGAAGGAAATCATGAGTATGACGAAGTTCCTCTCCGCCATCTAGGTCAACAAATAAAAAGAAATTTGAGTATTATAATAAATAATTTTACTGATTAAAGTGTATTTATAAGTTATAATAAGTTTTATTTTCGTCATAAGTTACAGGTGGCTTCTGACGCTGCATCATTTGTAATTTCGTTTTATAATACCTTTGTTGTAAAATACTTGTTTGGTACTGCTGTAATAGCACTAGACGTTGCAGTTCTTTTGTAGTTAACCCTTTGGTTTCCTCAGATCCGTATTTCTCTGTTGCTAATTTTCTTTTTGGTGGCACTGTCTTCTGAATTGCTGGCGCTGTTTGCTCATTGCGCTCGGTATATAGTTCACTTCCTTCTTCTTGAACACTACCAACCTGAATGGCACCTCTAATTTTCCCAATTGTAGGATTACAGTCACCTTCCATAGCTTTCAGCAACTTTCTTTTCCAATCTAACAATTTAATTGCTTTATTACCAGTTTTTTTTTAGATCTGTTTTTTCTCCAATCTTGATTTCATGTTGTTGTTTTTTTAATAAGCCTTTAGTATCTAATGGTTTACCGAATGTTGATTCGTATTTTTTCAACATCTGCTTCAAGGCATCGTCCTTTCTCATTTTTATTTTTGGAACTTGTGACTTTTGCAAAATAATGGGAGCAACGGCGATTTCATCTGCGATGAACTGTAGGTCGTTGCCATTATTTTCTATAGTTTCCTCATCACTTGAGGATGATATGCTTATTGATTTGATAAAAAACTGTATCTAGTAAAAATACGGAACGGTTTGTGTAAGCTCTGTAGTGCAACTGTCAGTGATGCTGAGTGAATGAACTCCCACGTCAACTACAAGCTGGAACAAGTCAGGACATGTCGCTCAAGATACAAATACCAGTCAACCTTTTACTTCTTCTTGGAGGATATCCTCTCATTATGAATATGAAAACAAGGATATGCTTATACTTCTAACTTTTTATCCGAAGCAAGACCTTATATTTTTACCTTATGCTTCCGAGGATATGCTTCACTTTTATGAATACGGCTCAAGGTTACTACAATGCCAAGAATGAAAAAGCTTTGTAGTTTTTGTAAATCAGTCAAGTGACGGCCGGGTTTTTAACGTTTCAGAGGATCATAGTCATTATTGGAAAAAAATTTTAGGGGTAAAAATTAGGTGGTAGGAGATTGTAGGGCTTAAGTTTTTGATGTTAGTATACTTATACGCTCTTGACGCCAAAAATTTCACGCACCCATTATCCATATTTCACACATCACAAGTTTCCCCGTACATTTGCTTTCCATAAGCCTCTCGTTCTGCTACGAGTATTTCGGCTCAGCGCATGCGCATGGCGTAACGGTCTGCTAGATTTATATGCTCGTACTACGACGGTGCTTCGGTGGGGGCTGCCGCGTTTGACGATATGGGAAGGGTCCACGTTGCCTGATGGACGGTAATTACCGGTAGGGCAAGAAAAGAATATCTATGGACTAATTGTATGGGCCTGTTTGACTGACTTCATTTAATTTCTTTATTGTACATGTTGGTAACTTTTTTTCTCAGAGGGTTAATCTGAGCTGAATTTAATACTTTATTAATTAATGACGACATTGCGTAGGAAGTGCAAAGTCAACCTACTTGACGCAATTTTTTCAATGTAGATATTATCCCAGTAGGTAAGGATGTAAATATTAAATGTAAAAAGAGTTGTATTAGTGAAATGTTTTGAATTCCCACCGAGCTAGTCAGAAAATTTTTGAAATGACATTCTTAAGACAACCTCCCGGCCCGATAGCATTTTGCAAATGGGCTATGGCTTAATTAAGCGCATGAATAGAAGCTACACAATTGCACATGACTTTGCTGATTTAAAGATATGATACAAGCTTTTTACAAGAACATTTATGTCATTTCAAGTTCGAGAGCTTTTAGTTCCTACATACAATTTTACGATTCCACCCTCTAAAAAAACCTACATCGTTTTAAAATAGCGCAGATTGTGTCTCTTACTCTCGACAGCCTCCCCTATTATCAAAATCTGTTGTTATACCACAAAAAAGTGAGTAGCACATGCCAAAAGCTAGAGCACACCTGCCTCTTGAGGGTAGCGATTCCGATTTCCCTGAAACGCGACAAAAATGTACATAAACATGGGGATGGGACAAAAACCTAACCGAAAATCATATGTCATCGTGGCTTTATGCACATCCACATGAGTGCCGTTCAGAAGTTTTTCATTAAACAAAATCAACAGGAGACCTTTTGAATTTCCATAGTAAAACGCTGATATTAACGTTTATATTGATCTACAAAAGAAAATATGTTGTTCATCTTGCGTTTATCGATAGCTTTAAAAACATTATAAGCATGAAATTATATTCTGAGCTCGAAAACCTGGGTATGGGAACCTATCAGCTGGACTACTTCGGTCCCTTGAACGTTTCTGTTCTACGTATTTTCTGATTTAAGTCTCTTTTGAAGGAATATTTAAGGTACTTTTCTATTAAGATATTTGCTACAGAAGAATGCATTGCCAAAACATACTAGATGTAGTAAAAGTAACGCCTCTGTGTTTTTTCAGGTAAGATATTTTTGAAAAGGATCAAGGTTGGGTCTATACTAACTTTGAACAAGGAATTCATTCATGACCATGACCAGCGTCATCTCCAAGGCTATTTCACAGTCAATTATGTTTTTAAGATGAAAGTCTCCTCTGACTCTGGCTCTCAGAAGAAAGGAAAATTCTACGTCCGAATATATATTAAAATGTAATTTCAAGGTCACCTCTAAGGGTGAAATGAAGGCCAAATAGCTCTGGCTAGGAAAAATTCCTAGATGTTTAGTAAGATTATTGATGAACAAGCTCTTTAGTAATTTTTAACAAGGATTTCAATGGTCACCTTCGATTTGTCCTTGAACTCCCTCTTCAAAGTCATTTTTAAACTGACACCGGCAAAGGAAAATTTAACGTTCTAATAAGATCTCTTGTACTATTATGACCTTGAAGGTGAGACGTTTTCAGCACCTTGTTTCTCGGCACAAGTATGTACATTTTGTAATCGATGTTTACACAAGTTTTTTACATATTTTCCGATGTACTAGTAACCCGTATACCTAGTATTCGTAATAACACATCTCTAATGGATGTGGTTATTTGCTAATTCGTTATTCTCTATACAAACACGGCCTTTGAATGTTTTTAGAATTAATGCTTTATGCAAGGTATCGAATTTTGTTCAAAAGGGAATAGATGAGAGGGGGTGGCAAGCCCTATGGCAACTGATTTAAATCCGGAAGCCACATGGTGTTGAATATCCAGGAAGCACGATGCAAAAAAATTAAACAAAGCAGATGCAAAGGTGTGCAAATAAGCTTGATACTGCAGATGATCTATAGTATCTAATGTTATGCAATGCTAGAATTTGAAAGTCAATGTAAAATTACTTTTTATTAAGCAATAAGCAATTAGTAGATGCCTTATTAGAAATACAGTGTGAAACAGCTAAATGGAATACATTTGAAACGGACTCCAAACTTAACTATGAGAAAACCCTAAATCCGTCAAATTTAAATATCATAAATTCGTCATAATAAGTAATGAGAGAAAGAAATGGAAACAAACTAAATGAAATGGAGGAGATAATCTGATGTTAAAAGCAATCGGTACATAGAAACATTTCGCAAGTGCCAAGACAACTCCCTCTCTATCTCTCTTTCAACATGCACCCATTCTGGCCCCTCCTTTGAGATCCGACGGGTAGTACCTCCACGTTCAACAGTCAGAGACCGTCTACCACCTTGCAAGTGTATATGGCATCTCATTACCATGAATTCCAGAGTACTCATCATTGATGAGTCCACGGGCCTAATTAAAATTCAATTTCGTCCAGCGAAATTAATTTCGATGTTGTCTTGCCGTCGCATTTATGATCCGCTCTGATAATTCTAACACTGTCATAATAATTTCGATTAAAAATTAGTTGGAATCAGGTGTTTATCAGGTCATATGTATGAGTCTAGAATCTTCCCACACTTCAGAAAAAGTATCCTACAAGTACCCAATTGTCGCTTAGCTATCCGACTAGATAGTTATTCCTCTCCTAGATCATTGTCTGTCGCAATTACTAGATGTATAGGAGAATGTCGCGTAGATATCTGCCTGGTATATTTCCCAAAAGAAAGTGAGAATCTTTTTTTAGGCTCGAGATCACGTGAACCAAGCTAGCCTCCCTCAGTGATCAGCTGACTCATAACATGTATCCATTTGGCTTATTCCATTGGGCAAAAGTGAACTATGCTTTTACTCAAGAAATCATATTTTCATGGGCTCATGTACCACGCAGGTATTTTTTTATATGGATTACTTGTTCTGTATGAATTTTCTAGACCACTTTGTATATACATCCAACTATTCACCAATTCGATAAACGACAATGCAGAAACATCCACGAGCATTTTATATTCCTATGTCGTCCTTTTCAGAATGACCGATATTCTACTTAGCACAATGATCAGTTCCCTTCCAGCCCCCGCGAGGTACTTTCCGGCGGCCCCCCTATTATTGCCCCCTTTTTTCCTTTTTCCGCTTTTGATGAAAATCTACGGAGGCTGTTAAGCTCCTTGCCATCAGAGATGAAAGAGGCACGGCACGGCGGAGACACTCCATATTAATTTCTATTAAAACTTCCATAATTAAAATGGATCCTCTTTT